CCACCGATAAGGAAATGTTGGCAGTGTTCTCAAAAAATGCTTGAATTCCAGAAATTTTAGATTAGCGAGGTTTTTGTTGAGTTGCAAGTTCCACTTGAACATGACGCTGCTTTTTTCGAAGTTTCTCAAGAACCATTCGAGCCAGAAAATTCGTTTCGGCATCGTTGGATAGAGAATTGAATGGGGGGGAGGGTCATGACCCCCATGTCCCCCCCTGGATCCGCCCTTGTCATCAATGAATATGCTTGCTTTCGTTTATCGGAATCTTTGTAGTTCCGGATTTGCATCCGTAAAGTAATTTCATTTTCATAATCACTGTATTTCTTGTTGTTTATTGTCTGATTATTTGGCCTGTTTTTACTTTGAAAATCCTGTTCTCTGACTACTTCACCTGCTCACCTGTGTCCAAGCGTTTGTTTCGCAAAAAGATTTCGACCAAATTTCAAATGAACATCTGGATCTTCCAGAGCCCGAACACTCAACATCCATCAAGTGCAGACCCTCTAACAAGCACCACGTCAAAATCGGAAAAATGTCCATTAAAACAATCAACAACCTCAGATTTGATATCTGGAGAATGTTCCTGTGGTGAATGCAGATGCGACTCATCATTGAGCAATATTGACGACAAGCTGAATTTCAGCAACATTCCAATCGAAGATAATATCGTCATTCCAGCAGTGTCAGGTAATGGTCCACAGATAGTCGATTTAAATTAAATTTTCATTGGTGTTTCAGTTTTTTTGAATAAAGGCGACAAACCGTCCGCCGAAGTGCAAGTGGCCACGCCATTTACAAGCAAAGGCCTCCAAATGACGAAAGATACAGCCAGCAAATGCGTCACGTGTTGCAAAAATTCCTATTGCCCAACCAATAAAGCGGCTTTAAGTAAGGGTAAGACCGGGCATTTGGCCGCTGGAGTCCAAGTGGCAAGCAATACGAAGAGTAGAGGAGTTAACATTACAAGTTTCCCCAAAAACTCGCTAAACGTTGGAGTCACTTGTTGCCAAATAAAAACTTGCCCCAATAATCAACCGAAGTCATGTAAGATGCCCAGTGCCTAAACACTGTGTGTTTTAATTGAATTTCTTTTACCCAGCTTGCAATGCGAAATGTAGCACCATGCCTCTTCCAGATCTATCCCCATCTAGTGGCAAAGAGACAGTTATGCAAGGCAACTTAAACATTAACAATTTGCCAAAAATGGGTGATTAGTTTTATTCCTTTCCAGCATGCGAATGCGACCTCAATGGATTAACCCAAACAGGGCAGGAACGTCAAGATGGCCAGAACCAATGTGCATTCATTGGCTCGCCGCTCTTAGATTTTAACGACATGAAGCGCAGCTCTGGAAAAGTATTCATTCATCCACACATTTTGCGCTCCTGTTTGATGGGAAATTTTCAGGTTCTTTGCGATTGCAACACTGATCAAGGGCCCAACAAGGTCTGCGAAATCAGCGGATATTCCCTTACGTCGAACGACATTCTAGAGATGCAGAACATTGCAGAATTGGCCAAGAAGGAAAAGGCGATGAAGGTGCAAATAGAAGAATTGCAACGACGCGAGAAACAATATCAAGAGGTATTTAGCAAGTTTAACGAGGCTTTAGAGTTACCAATCAGATACCTCCACAACTCCAAACTATTACGGAACGTCTTTGTAGTAATTCAGCTCTTAATCTTTGACTAGGCTACGAGAAACGTGGAAAATTTAGTGACAAAAGCGAAAACCTCGTGTTGCTCCTGCCACGGAAAAGCCGGCCCTCCAAACATTAGTGCAGAAATCGACAAAATCAGCAGAGAACTCCGACTGGAAAACCAAATCCTTAAGGCAGAACTGCAGGACATGAAGCTAGAGCTCAAACACTGCTTGGAAAAAGTGGAGGGCCCCATGAAGCTGAAGCTCGAAACGGAGAAGCAAAAATGCGAGTGTTTGCAGCAGGATCTTCAAATGGCCTCCAAAAACATGCTGGTGAATCAGGTTGATCCGGAAACCTCGCCAAATTATCTGCACTAACAACTAGTGAAATTATAGGATGCATATTCTCGCGAAATGAATCAGCTGAAGTTGCAGCTGTGCTGCGCTTGTACGAATATCACCGAATTGAATCAAATGAACCAGAGGCTCAAAGATGAAATGTCCCAGTTGGACTGCCTGTGCCAAAAACTAGAGGATGATCTAATTAAGCAGAAGGTTAACGAGGCGGAAACCATCAAAAGGCTGACCAGCCGGAAGAATTTTAGTGGCAAATCTGAAGAATTCAAGTAAATTTGTTGATCATAAACAGCCAATACATACTAGTGGTACTTTTCAGATGTGACTCGAACCTAGATGTTATTGCCCGAAAGCTGAGCAAAACGATCAAGGACTTGGCTCCATGTGAAGAATGCTCGAAACTTCCAGCGGAGCTGGCTGGTGCCGCCAAATGCATAAGAGACCTAACAGATATGGTAAGGAAGAGAAAAACCAAGAGTTCTACAGTGAGTGGTTGCTGCTGTAACGCACCCTTGAAGCCCATTCCGAAGAAGGTTAAAGAAGAAGAATGCTGCAGCTGCTGTGGCCCAACGGATGGAGGTATTATTTGTTGGCATGGCACAGTTTTTCCAAATATTTCAGATTTCTCGTAATCAGCCGGAGAATCGTTGGAGCAAATAGCGCCAGTAGCGGACAAAAATGTGAAGACGCTTCACGGGGTTCCACAATCATTTGCCCAAAACGATGAAAGTAGTCGGTTTGATGTGGGTGGCGTCCAATCGAGCTATTATAGCGCCAAAGGCGCGTATATGCGTTTAGAAGTCCGCGAATTCTTAATAATGGTTTATTTTTGTTGGCTGCACCAATAGGCGAGCCAGGAAGAGAAGCTCCTTGCGCAACCATTGGTCAACCGTGCTTTCAAAGCAAGAGCACCCTCACTAAACCTCTGGATGATCCTCTCATTGAAAACAAGCTGCCCTGTAGTGATATAGGAGAACCATGCAGAGATGGTAGTTTGTTTGATGTTTGTTTCATTGATTTCGCTTTGCCAAAATGGGCTTATTAGTAGAAAAAGCGAAACTTCAGGATCGTCTGGTTCAAGTGCCCGCTGGAATCGACAAAGGTTGTCGAGCTCCCTGCTCGGAAATGATGGAACCGGTGAAAGATCCACAAGTGGAACTGGCGTTGAAAGGAGAAAAGGATTCAGGTACATTTTAACGATCTTCGAATTTTTACTCAAGCTATGGGTTTTTCAGAAGAGAAGCCTGTTCAGGTGCCGGAGGAAACTCCCTCGGTGGAACAGAACGATGGGCTTCAAGCAGCAATCCAAGGTATTAGTTTTCGACTGATTGGCAGAAGAGGTAATTATGGAGGAAATTTTGCCTCAAGCAGATCAGGCTAAGGACGCGGGCGATGTAGTGGCTGAAGACTCATCTGAGCAGCAAAATGTAACCGAGATAACGTATGGTGTGGTTGAAGAAGTACCAAGGTCAAAATTCGCAATTGTTGAAGAAGGCAATACGACCGAAAGCGTAAGTTTAAAGCTCTAAACTTCCACTGGCATGTGAGTTATTATATCGCATTTAACTGGAGAAACAATATTAGATTTCCTCTCATTGTCTTTATGTCTGAAACTGACTTGCAATCTGTTAAACGTTAATCAAATAGAAAAATCAAATGAAAAGCAAAACGCATTAGATTAAAACGAACGATGATGAATAGATAAAACTTCAACAGATCCTTCTCTTGATATTAAAATGTTCAAAATCAACCGGACCAAAAATGTCCAAATGAACAACTGAAAAGTATAAAGCTCTTAGCGATGAGCAGCATTCAGGTCTTGGTTTTAAACAACGATCAATCACTACCAGGTGAGGCAAACAAAACGTATGAAAAACAAGTAGAAAACGTGAAACAGTCACCACTTCGAGGAAAAAATGCCAGTGAAAATAGAAATGATACTAAAGGAATGGAAACTTTCAATCAAGCAGATTTATATCAAGTTATGGGGAACTGATTTAAAAAATCAACCAAAAGTGGTGTCATATTTTGGCAAAATTTGTCATCAAAAACTTTCATCCAAATAAACCCACCCCCGTACATACCTATACCTAGCTATAGTAACTAACTAAAAAGAATAAAGTTTCGAAGAATCAAACTATCTATACAAATCAAATTGATTCCTGAGTTTCAGTCATTTATTGTCTCTATTTATCAATCAAAATACGTTTCGGTGTATTTTTCCACCATCATCAGTTTTTATGTGTAGCGTTGTTGCTGCT